CACATCTAATTATATAAAACCAATGAAAATTATTTGCTTGAAATTAATATACATTGATAAAACTGGCTCGAGGAATAATTTATTTATTATTATCCGCTTAAGACGAGAGAAGTGTGCGATCACACGTAAATCCGCGTAAGAAGGTAAACCTATCCCAGAAAAATCAAACGAAACATGTATATTCGATACAAGCTTACAGAACGTAACGTCTCATCGGTCCAGATGTTTACGCTCTTATATTCTTCCTTGGATTTGTGTGCAATGGACGCTGATGTAGCGCCGCGATTAGACACAGACCTCATGGAAAACCGGTTCTCGTTTCGGTTCACTCTCTTCCTCTTTCTCTCTCTCTCTTCTTCCCGTCCATCGCGATTATAAAGTCGCGAAAAGGAGAGAATGAGAGAAGATGATACGACGACGTAGCTGAAAGAACGAGTTTCGTTCGTTCGTTTTGCAGCGGCAACTTTCTCTCCTCGCGTAATCGCCGCCGGGCTTTCTTCTTCCTCTCGAAGCGCACTGTCCTGGAAAGTAACTTGAAAATTCAAGCGCCGACTTTGCGCGAACTTTACGCCCCTAGACTACCTAGAAACGGAGATTGCATTACTTTCTTTGCGCTTTGATAATGGTCGCCGCCGGATCGTCTCGTAAAGAACTTACTTTAACGGAAGTTCGTATTCACTCAATGAAATTTATTATTTATTCGAGTTTAACGATATCTCCTTTGCCCTTCGCCTGGAAGGGCTCTCCCGAAGGAATTGTCGAGGTCCGATATTCTCTCGAACTTTAATGCACTTTAAAATTGGATGGACACGTGGCTGACAGATAGACGGATAGAGCGAGAGAGAAAGCAGGGTCGGTGACAGAATATGTCGGTCGGTATCTTGGATTCGAGGCAAGTCCCACTTTGATCGGAGAACGTCCTCATTAGTTTAATTAAGTCGTGTAACAGGCAGCTAGCTCTACCGTTTCTCATCTCTCTCTCTCTCTCTCTCTCTCTAGCTGTAAATATATATACGTGCTGAAAGAGGGCAGGGCAGAAAAGACTGTCGCGTAGTCTTGGAGAGGTTCGTCGATCCAGCTGGTTTGCACGGGGCGACATATGCACTCGCGAAACAACAGGGGGCGGGAAGGGGAGAGAGAGGGAACCGGGCACGACGACGGGAGGGGAAACGTGGGGGTTTAGCTCTTGTGACTACTTCGTGAATAATGCATACCAGGCGCGAGCCCACGCCACGATGCTATATACGAAGATGCCAGACACGTTACTCGGAACCGAGCTTGTATCTATACGGGTATACATGGAGTAAGAGAGAGAGAGAGATGTATATATGTATCCGCCTATGTACACGTGGGCACATATATGCATACGTGCCATCCATTACGCCGGCTGCGCATACATATGTATCGACTACGCCTGTGTGGCGTGGCAACGTGGCCCATACAGAAAATCTGTGGACATAAGTGCCGATGGGATTTGCTGATGCAGTTGGGGAATATCTCTCTCTCTCTCTTTCTCCATCCGCCAGGAGACACGTGAGATAACTATTCGCACTTTATTCGAGATGAACTTCATTCGCGTCACTCGGTCTAGCGATGATACGTCCATTAATACGTAGGAAGGAATGTTTTAACAGTTATTATTATGTTACAAGTTGTACTTGTTGTGTGTGACTTCTATACCTATATCCTCTTATATCCCAAGGTTTCTCTCGAATGTCTCTCGTACATATAGCCTTCCTAATTCTTCATTCAGATACTTTAAAGTTTCGATATAAATTCACAAATGAACGAAGCAATATTATATAACGCGAAAATATATTATTAACAAAGTTAATTAAAATACTTTCTATTTATTTTTGAATAAAAATCTGTATATAATTTGGAATTGTAGTAGCACTTTATAATGTGCAATATTTTATGGAAAATTAGCTTGCATTGTGCGAATTTTTAAAATTTATTCTCGGCAAATTGATGGCGACTCTTGCGAAAGACAATGGGTCCGCGTCTCTTGCATGCTGCGAAGCATTGTAAGGTTAAGGCGATATATTACGAGACCTTTGCCTTAATATTCCCACGAAGAACGGGCGATGTCCGTGATCGTGTATGAGTCGACTGCGATGTATTAAGATACTCCCGATAGTTACTCGCGAAGTTGGACGTGCTACATGCGCGAGATTGTAAAGGAAAGTGCACGCCTCGTTGCGTAAAGTACATGCAAATTTCCCTCCGGGGAATTGTGTGCCAGTTCCGTAGGCAAACATAGTTGTGTATATATCTGCTGGATATACACGCACCTATATGCGGATATATATATATATATATATATATATATATATATATTTATATACACACGTATACAGTTCTACGACCTCGTAACACCGAAAGCTCCCGCGGGTTGTAAAACAATGATTGCTCTCGTCTCCATCACAAGAGATACGGCGTCTGTTATAATCTTGAACTTTGTGAAAGTTTGTGATATCCAGGAAGAGCACGCAAATTATTCATGAATGCATTGTAATAGATTTATAAACGGATCTCGTGATATACTCGTTAATAATACAGCTGAATGTAATTACACAAATTAATACGCAAGCAAATGGAACGTCTGAATATTGATAAATCTTAGAATTTTGATATATACACAGCTTAACAATATATTTTAATAAATAATGCTTTTCAATTACATTTTTATGCTAACAATAAGCAAATATCATAAAAAGTAAAAATTGAAAAATAAAAATGTTTAGTCGAGGAAGAAAGAGAAAAATTATTCTATATTGAGTACATACGTGCACGCACTTATTAACGTCTCGCTTTATATAGCAATATGTAACGAGTTACTATTATCTTGAAAAATAAACAGAAAGAACCTCGTGATTGCTTTTCATCCTCGATCTTCACGCACGTATAGTAGCTGGAAGTGAAATCATCGCTTCTAGCAATCGCGTGCCAGATTCCATCGATCGCGCAATTACTCTCGACGTGCATAATTCCACGGCTAGCCGAACTGGAAACACGGAATAAAATTGCAACGAAATGCACATGCATTCTTGCGAATTTTCTATAAAATAGATACAAATTTAATCGATATACATATTATTTCGTATATTAAAATTGTGTGAAATAATTTATGTTAATTTTTTTAGATAGTATGATTGATCATGAGAATTAAGATTGTAATCTTAATTAACAATTAATGTTATAGAATTTATTACGTGAAAAATAATATTTTACTTTCTCTATTTTTATTTTAATAATCTGAAAAAAAGTAAAATGTGGCTATTTTCGCAAATTACGTGAAAATCGATCTTTTTTTAATTTTATTTTCTGATTTTTTCGGGAAAATACCATAGGATTAATCTTGAGTCTTCTGAAAGTTATCGAAAGTTATCGAACCGCTTGAGTTCTTGAGGCGCCGTTAATTCGATGCGGTAAAGTTCTTCCGCCGAATCGTAAAAGTTCTCCGCAAAAAGTTTTTCACCAAATCTATCGAGAACGTTACTTGAAATGTTACCAGAATCAACGTCAAGAAGGGAGGGCCGCCAGGAATTAAATCGTCGTTTGTCGTGACTCTCGACACTGAAAAGCTCTCTGAAGCGGTATTATCAATTCCACGGATATGCTTTTAGATTGAGAGAAATTTCTCCAATTGCTTAGGATTTTAAAAGGACTTGTAAAAGTTTCTCAACTATATATTTCTTGTATGTAAATTTCTTTGCATTTCGTAAATCTCTTTGCACTTAATAATTCGCTGTTAGAAATTGATAGGCATTAATCGACGAAATAGTCATTCGTTTTATCGAATTGTCCTAGATTCTGTAAGTTAATGTTACATTCAGGGTCAGTTTTCTCTGGGAGGAAGTTGTGATGTCGATTACAAAAACGATAAATGTCTGGATAGAGATTATCCATTCGAGGTATATTTTACGGTTAAAGATAATTTGCAACTTCCTCGCAAGAATTTTCCTAATTACATTGTTGGCCGTCGGGATACGTTAATCAGATAACAGGTTGCGAGAGGTATGTATCGCGCCGGTAATTTCTCTCGTGCGGGAAGTCCAAGAACGGTGAATAGATCACGCGGCGCAGCACCACTACCACGACTCGTTTGCAACGAGCGAATAAAATCAATTAAAAAGTTTGGCACGCCGCGCCTGGCGAGTTTTCGCCAAGTTTTCCATGCCACTCTAAATATATATATATATATACCATATATACGCACACACAGGACACGCGCGCACGTACATAATCATGCGTACATAGAGAACATTGCCAATGGAAGTTCTGCTATAAACCGGGCTATATACTGACACCACTTGCCGGGTAGTTTCGCTAACTTTCCGACTCTCGTGTCGAACTTGTTAATGGCTCTCTGTGGCGTCTCTGTTGCCGCCGTTTTCTCCCGTCCTTCGTCGTCCATTTCCTTCCATCCATAGTAGACGCTTCCGCCTCTATACGTCTCCGTTTCCTCCGTTGCCTCACCACCGTGTTTCATCTCTTTTCGATCCCACACCCTTCGTTGGCGCGCACTATCAAAACTTCTCTATCGGATTCGACGAGACTCTCTCTCCTTCTCTCTCTTTCCTCTTTCCTTCTCTAGTTCATTCGCCGACCCACATACTTTGTCCTCGCGTTCCTTCCTCCTAAGTTTAAGTATCTGAACGCAACTGCCGGTGCAGCCAAGTTACGATGGTAGTTTTCGAGTAGATGCAATCTCGCATCGAATAATTGCAATTCTTATCAAAGCTGGAGTAAAGAGATAAAATCATTTCTGCCATGCGAATGATAAAGAATTAAATCGAGATTTAAGAATTTAAATAACGTTAACTAAGAAGAAAGTTAAGATCAAATTAAAATTATAAAAATAGTATTGATATTTAGATTCTTCTTTATATTAACGTTATGTTAACGGTTTAGATAACGTACGAGTACACGATAAAAATAATTATCTAGGAAAAAGAAAGTAATTTTTTAATCAATATATTTTTTATTTGTTTCAGGTAAGAAAACACTTTCTGCGATTCACTCTACTAGCCGCAAAGTTAAATCATCGAATCGTAAGTTATTTAATAATAATTTTTTTGAAAATATTCTTATTCTGCAGATATGCATTTTATAATTACGATGTTTCGAATTTTTTGTGGCGTAGATTTCTCAGTTTACGCTTATCATGAATAATGAAACAAAATATGCGCCAGTTCGGTTTCGTTTCTTGCAATTTTTTTTTTTTTTATGAAAATTGCTGAGCTAAGGTGTGTAAAGCGTTCAGGAAGTCGCAGTGTGCGATAAGCGATTCGAGTATTACAACGAAATGCGATTACACCACATTCCTCGCGTCTTGTAAGATTGAATACGGGATGTGCTGCATCTTGCATTTTTTTTCGCTGCAACGTGTCATCGTATCTTACTCGGAAAGTGCGATTTATCAGTTTTGTCTTGTAGAAAAAATACCACGTCAACGCGCGGTGTCGACTTCGTTACATTCTCAGAAATAAAGCATTCGCATAAATAAAGAAAGGTTTTAAGTGCCAAAAATAATAAACGTGAAGAGCTACTTTTTTAAATATTTATTTATGTGGAAAAAAGCAAGAAAAAATACTGTCCATCTTTATTCTAGCTACGTAAATATATCTTTTAAATATTCGCGTTTTTTTCCTTTCTCTTTAATCAGCATCTGGTGTTAGCATATTAGATTTCTTTCAAAAAAGCAAATGTTAACGTATTATTTTTTTATATCGAATAAAATGATTAAAATATAATTCGCAGTTATTATTGAAATTGCATTTGCAGCAATAATAAAATGCTACTTATTATTAGCGGCAACTTCTTCAGAATTTATTGGCAAACGTATAAATAGAAAAGATTGATGTCTCAACCGAAACGTTGGAGAGATTTGTCATTGTTACGCGAGATCGACTAATTTATCGTCATCGTTACGCGCTCCGGTTTTCTCGATGCGTCGCGGCTGCGAACGAACGTCGACGGGCAAACAAATTGCCGATCAATTTTCCGCGGACGATTTTAGGGCAATATTTTCTACGTGCCGTTTTAGAAACAGGCCATCGAATACAGTCTTTTGGCGAAAACAGGGAATATTTCTTCTTCGAAACCAAGAGACGGCTTTCCTAGACATTTATCTTTTGGGGCGCACGCGAACAGTTTTCGATTCTCCTTTTTGGACTTATTATCGATATTAAACGGGTATCCGCATTTATTCGATGTCTTTAAATTTATGCAGATATTATTCACAAAGCATTAATACTTTTGAATTGCGAAATTTGTGTAGAAATCGTTATTCTGACTATTGAACATTTTATTTATAATTTATATAGGTACATATATATCTCTGATTTTCATTGAAGTTTATTAATCTTTCAAAATTAGAAACTTTTGGTTTGTGTGTGCTTTCTCATAAAATAACTGAAATCGAGAAAATTACATATTTAATATCTATTACCTGATTTAAATATATTCGAGTTTTGCATAAATTTTAAATAATTTATAATTTTACACATATATACCCGATGAACTCGAGTATTTTTCTATATGTTGAAATATATGCCACTTTCAATATTGGATTTACTTCGCTTTCGAAATAGATAATTCACATATATTTTATTATGTTGAATATGATGTTCTCATACCTATATAAATTTTTATAAATTTTATTTTATTTTTTGCGTAATATTATACATTTTTAATACAATTCTCGATGTGAACATATCACTTGTGCGTGAATTATTACTATTTGATTTTGATAACATTTTATCTCTGATGACATTTTATCATTTTAACTCCATCAATTAATCTATCGAATCGAGGAATCTCTAGCTTCGTGTTAGTTTTAGAGAGCTAAGTCAATGTTGACTTGCACTAAATCTCAGATATGTTAGCGGTAACCTAGTTTTCTCATGTTAGGGATAATATTTTGCATTGAAATAGATGATACTCTTTGAATGAGACAGAGAGAGAGAGAGAGAGAGAGAGAGTAGGAAGAAATGATATCGTTTCAGCTTGGTCCACTTTCCGCTCAGTCGCGCAAACAATCAATGTTTTGCACAATAATGAGAATGACAATGCATAATAATAAAGATTAATCGCGTGAATTTTGATTGGTCATACGTCGTGAAACGAACAAGAAAGGGATTTAGCGAATAGATGTAGAAAAAAAGTAGCCATCACACGTCGGCGAAGAAAATCACCTTAATTTCAGCAAAACGCAAAATCCCTCGATGGCCGTCGACCTTTTTGTCAGCCGTTTTTTGCCGCGGCCATTCATATCGGTAGACATGCAATCAAAGCGAAAGGAGTATTTTGCGGTCAGCAGGAACGTCGCAACGGTTATTTTAATAGCAGGCGGTAATATCCGGACGTGAAAAAGGAGCAAAGGAAAATAGAGAGAGAGAGAGAGAGAGAGAGAGAGAGAGAGAGAGAGAAAGAGAAAGAAGAGACAATAAGGAGTGAGTGGTCGTGTAGACGTGGACGCACCAGCTGGCCCGGCTCCTCACGTTTACACGATAGTGATAAATTGTTTATCTCGCGATATTTGGCCAACAGCCAACATTTTCTGTCGCCTCCGTCTTCCTACGACTTGCCACTTTATCTATTTATATATATGTAATATATATAACGATCGAGTGTAACAAACAAGGCGAAGAAAAAGAAATTAAAAAGGCATGTTATGCACATATATATATAAATGCAACGCGCTTTTTTTATGATTTTTTATTTACTTTCTTTGCCGCACTTGAACTTCTTTTCACTTGTTGTAACCCAAATTCCGCGAGATTCTTCCTATTAAGGATAAAGAACGCGACAACATTATCGAATTGCGTTGTTGTGTGAAAACTTCGAAGAACATAACAGTCTAAATCTCGTATTGTTTGCCTCACAATGATCTTTTGTGTACATTTTTTATTAATATCAGTGGAAAACTTTTAGATAATGTGAGAATTGATTAAATTTCATCCATCCTCTTCCTTTCGATTAGCTTTATCTTTTATATTCAGAGACAGACAGTAATTGTCCAGATAAGTCAAGAACTTGATCAAGTATTAAATTATAACTCTTTTATCAAGATCTTTATTTAAACGTCATTTTAAGAAATTTATAAATATCAATCTTCAGACATTTAATTAGAGTTTTTATCTCTTTATCACAAAAAATTTAACAATTCAATTTTGTTGACTACGCGAAAAGAAATCTTGATTTTTCTGACATAATAAATCAACGCGTGAACAAATTCGAAAGTTGCAAAGAATATTACTAAACTTCTTTTAATGATTTAATACATTATTCAATTATCGTGAAGCATGCTTCTAGTAGTTAAATCGTTAACTCGATCTCTCTCTCTCTCTCTCTCTCTCTCTTTCTCTTCATTCATTTAATCACATCTCAATTGAAACGATTTACACTCGCGTCGATCTCACGAGTCTCTATACAAGTACGAGCAATTACAAAACTAGTAATTCACTCTTTTTTCTCTTCGAGCAAGCATCAACGAGCTACACAATAATACACAAACCTATCTTTGAACAACGACTGCGAAACGTCTAGTGCCCGCGGATTGATTCGAGAGAGTTTCGAGAGTTTCTCAGAGAGAAGTAATGATTTAAGCATCTTCAAGTGGTGGTCGCAGGAACGTCTTCCTCTAATTTAACAACGCGTCATTACATCAAATAGACTCGCCGGCATCTGCGCGAGCCTTGAGTATGGTCAAGATCTCTGAAACGGCAGCGATTATGATTAACTGCCGCGCATATAATCGTTGACTCGCGCCCGACTAATTTTACCCGGCGATAATCGCTTTCTTCATTGCGCAAATATGGTAACGACTATATAGCCGCGTTGCTTCTTCTCGTTTCGGCCTCGTCGATTAGGGCAGCCAGTCGAATCCAAGGTGCATTGAAGGATTTTATGCATGTTGCAAAATGATGTTTGCACAAGTTATGTAATTAAAAAGTTATATATAATTTGCTACGAAGAAAACAGATCATACATACATACATATATGGTAATTAGACTTGAATGAAATATGAGTTGAATTGTAACGATGGAAAATTATAAGAAAATAGTATCTCTTAAATAACTATCGTTGAATTTTTAAGCACATTTCGCTAAAGCATAGTCTACATTAAGAAGTCTTCGAAGAACAAAATTTTATTATGAATATATATTTCGGAATTCGTTCGGAACTGCTCGAGAGAGAAATCTTCAATATTAAACAGCTATAATTATATTCTTCATAAGATTTTCAATAGAGCATAAAGTCGATATTCTGAATATATATATATATATATATATATATATATATATATATATATCTATATATATATCTGTATAACTGACTGGGGAAAGAGTGCACGCGATTTGCTTCAATATACTCTGTATATTTTAAATTGATGTGCTAACAGCGAAATTATAATGCTCTCTTGAGTCTTTCGTGCTGTAAAGCCGTCGTCGTAGCTCCATGCATATCAACGCGTTTTAAGAGAAGAGAAGAGGGAGAAAGAGAGAGGGAGAGAGAGAAATGGAGTCTCCCTCTGGCCGCTGCCCACGGACGTTACACCGCAATTACTCGACAGTGTATTGATCCGGCGGTTCGCAGTCTCACGGTTCGCAGAATCCCTCGTTGGAGCAACCCTCTCTTTCTCTCTTTTTCTCCGTTACTCCGAAGCAAAACATCCTTTCATTTGAGAAAGAGAAAAAGGGGTAACGAAACGGGGTACGGAGAAGAGAGAGAGAGAGGGAGAGAGAGAGAGAGAGAGAGAGAGAGAGAGAGAGAGAAAGTCAGGGACGAGAATGCGCGCGTAAGTTCCCTCGGGCGACTATCCATAAAATAACGTCCAAGTTATTTAGCGTCCGGACGAACGCCAAAGAAGCGGTCTTCAAGGTCTTTTGTCGCAAGAAACATTTAATCTCTGTGTATGAGCCACGTGATACGCGGCGTGTACAATGGCATTTTTTACAATGAGATTTATGAATTGCTTTTTCGGCGAAAAAAAGTTTGCAACTTGCAAACACGTACGTACATACATGTATATATTAACCAGATATT